CCCCCCTCGCCTTATTATCTGTATATTAGAGAAAACATTTAGCCTTTGGTTTTGTGGGATTGGCTTTTTCACTTAGCATGATAATTCTCCAACTCTATCCATTTACTGGCAAATGCCATAATTTTACTCTTCTTTAAAGCTGATTAATATTCCACTGAGTGTGTGTGTGTGTGTGTGTGTGTGTGTGTGTGATCACATTTTCTTTATCCATTCATCTATTGAGGGACACCTAGATGGGTTCCATAGTCTAGCTATTGTGAATTGAGCTGCTATAAACATTGATGTGACTGTGTCACTATAGTATGCTGATTTTAAGTCCTTTGGGTATAAACCAAGGAGTCGGGTAGACGGGTCAAATGGTTGTTCCATTTCCAGTTTTCTGAGGAATCTCCAAACTGTTTCCCATAGTGGTTGTACCAATTTGCAATCCCATCAGCAATATATAAGTGTACCTTTTCCCCACATTCTCGCCAACATTTATTGTTGCCTGTATTCTTGATGATTGCCATTTTGACTAGTGTGAGATGAAATCTTAGAGTAGTTTTGATTTGCATTTCTCTAATTGCTAGAGATGTTGAACACTTTTTCGTATATTTGTTTATCAATTGTATTTCTTCTTCTGTGAAGTGTCTGTTCAGTTCCTTAGCCCATTTATTGATTGGGTTATTTGTGGGGTTTTTGTGTGTGTGTGTGTGTGTTAAGTATTTGAGTTCTTCATATATTGTAAAGATGCTTTATTGGAGGTGCATGTGGTAAATATTTTCTCCTAATCCGTAGGCTCTCTCATCACGATATTAATTGTTTCCTTCGCTGAGAAGAAGCTTTTTAATTTGAATCCATCCCATTTATTGATTCTTGATTTTACTTCTTGTGCTTCAGGAGTCTTGTTAAGGAAATCATATCCTAGGCTGAAGTGGTGAAGATTTGGGCCTCTTTTTTCTTCTATTAAGTGCAGGGTCTCTGTGTTCCAATGCCTAAGTCTTTGATCCAGTTGAAGTTGATTTTGGGGCAGGGTGAGAGACAGAGGTTTAATTTATACTCTAATAAAATAGAAAATATCAAAGACATCAAAAAACATTGACAAATTTCAACCTACCCAAACTGAATGAGGAGGTCATACATGATTTAAACAGATAAATTTCAAGTAATGAACTAGAAAATGCCATTAAAAGCCTACCAACCAAGGACCAGGGGGATTCTCAGCCGAGTTCTACAAGACTTTCAAAGAAGAATTAACACAAATACTCCTCAAAGATGAGTCTAATATCACCTAAATCCAGGCAAAGACACATCAAGGAAAGAAAACTTCAGACTAATATCCCTGATGAACATAGATGCAAAAATTCTCAATAAAATTCTGGAAAATTGCATATGGAAGCATATTAAAATATAATGTACCATGATCAAGTGGGTTGGTTCAACATATGGAAATCAATAAATGTAATTTATCATATTAATAGACTTTAAAAAAAAAGAATCATATGATCATCTCCAGAGATGCAGAAAAAGCATTTGACAAAATACGGTACACCTCCATGTTCAAAATAGTAGAAAAACTAGGGATAGTAGGAACATACCTCAACATTGTAAAAGCTATATATGCTAAACCCAAGGCCAGCATCATTCTAAATGGAGAAAAATTAAAGCCATTCCCGCTAAAAACTGGATCACTTCTATTCAACATCATCCTTGAAACTCTAGCCAAAGCAATTAGATGAAAGAAAGAATAAAGAGATACAAATAGGTAAAGAAGAAGTGAAACTATCACTATTTGCTGATGACATGATTTTATATCTAGAAGATCCAAAAAATTCTACCAGAAAACTTATAGAACTAATAAATGAATTCAGCATAGCAGCAGAATATAAAATCAACACCCATAAATCAAACACATTCCTATACATCAGTGATGAATCCACTGAAAGAGAAATTAGGAAAACTATTCCATTCACAATAGCCTCAAAAAAAAGTACCTGGGAATCAATCTAACAAAAGAGGTCAAAGACCTCTACAATGAAAAAAGAAATTGAACACTAAAGAAAGAAATTGAAGAAGACCTCAGAAGATGGAATGATCTCTCATGCTCCTGGATAGTAAGAATTAATATTGTCAAAATGGCTATACTACCAAAAGTGTCATACAGATTTAATGCAATTCCTATGAAAATCCCAATGGCATTCTTCTTAGAAATAGAAAAAGCAATCATGAAATTTATTTGGGAAAATAAGAGACCCAGAATACCTAAAGCAATCCTTAGCAAGAAAAGTGAAGCGGGAGGCATCACAGTACCAGAACTTAAAAGTATACTACAGAGCTATAGTAACAAAAACAGGATGGTATTGGCACCAGAATAGACTTGACCAATGGTACAGAATAGAGGATACAGAGACAAACCCACATAAATATGGTTATTTCATACTAGACAAGGGTGCCAAAAACATTCACTGGAGAAAAGATAGCCTATTCAACAAATGGTGCTGGCAAAACTGGAAATACGACATGTTGGAATTTTAAGGCCAAAGGATTTGATTGAAGCAAACAAACTTGCACACATGAGGACACAATGACAACATTAGTTTGGCAGAAATATTGTTGCAACTCTCAAGCCTTCCCATATATGTATACACACACACACACACACACACACACACACACACACACATTTACATTTTTTAAGAATTGGTGCATTGTGGAAATTCATCAAAGTGGCCTCACTGTGACATGTTCACACAGGCACATGGTATGGTTTGGCTACTTTCATCTGCTCTTCCCCCACTCTCCCATCTCTTCTTCCTTCCTGTCCATCCCCCTCCTCTGCTCCACTGTTCTTTCTTCTATTTTTATGAGATCTCCTGCCAGTTTTAATTTCTTATTTCTCTCTCACTTCCAAGATGAGAGAGAACATCTGACTCTTGACTTTCTGCATTTGGCTTCTTTCACTCAGCATGATGGTCTAGAGTCCCATTTACCACCAAGTGACATAATTTCATTCTTTTTGGCTCAGTAAAACTCTCTCAAACCTAGATATATTGTTATACCCCTTCTCACTCATTGCTCCCATCCCATTATGTTCCTATTGGATTGTTTCAAGAAATGTAATTTATCCTTCCATCAATAGAGAGGGGGAAAAAACCCTAGAGCTTATTACGTCTCTTAGAAACATGCTCTATGGGGCTGGGATTGTGGCTCAGTAGTAGAGCGCTCGCCTAGCACGGGAGGGACCCGGGTTGGATCCTCAGCACCACATGAAAATAAAGGCATTGTGTTGTGTCCATCTACACCTAAAAAAATAAATACATATATATATTTTAAAAAGAAACATACTCTATGCTTATTTTGGTCCAGAAGATCACACTGTGTAGAGCTACATTATTTCCCAATTCACATGTCATTTGGATCTTTTGTTTTGGGAGGTGGTGCCAGATGAGACCAAGGCCTGGTTACATGTGAGGTAAGTACCCTACCACTGAGGGCTGAGAGAAAGACTTAATTATCTTAAAATTAAGGAATAAAGACTATGAGAAAGGTTTCTTAAACTGATATTATTTAGTAGAAATATTCTACCTGTAGACACAATTTCATATTTAGATAACTCCATCTTATACATGAGCTATTCATAACACATTTTCATATATAAGCTTTTCATTAACAGAAATCAATCTAACTCATAGGTAAACCCAGGAGAAGCAGCAAGTGAACACCTGCCTGCTTTTGAAGGTGAGTTTTTTTTTTTTTTTTTTTTTTTGAGTGTCAGGAACTCTGCTCCTAAGATGCCCATCTCATTCTTAAACCTCTATCTTGCTATAATTCTTCATTTAGACATACATTGGATATTCTGTCACTATGTGATAGAGAACTCACTTTTTCTAATTCAAGATGTATGATAACTAGTACTGCAATTATAATATAATGGCTTCAGAGACAAATCCTCTATTTCTTTTTCTTTTAAAGAGAGAGAGAGAAATTTTTAATATTTATTTTTTAGTTTTCGGTGGACACAACATCTTTATTTTATTTGTATGTGGTGCTGAGGATTGAACCCAGCGCCCCGCACATGCCAGGCAAGTGTGCTACCGCTTGAGCCACATCCCCAGCCCCCCTCTATTTCTTATAGTGCCTTTTTTATTATTTTTAATTTTTTTTTTGGGGGGGGACTGGGGATTGAACTCAGAAGTGCTGAGCCACAGCCCTCTTTTGTATTTTATTTAGAGACAGAGTCTCACTGAGTTGCTTAGGGCCTCATTAAATTGCTGAGGGTGGCCTTGAACTCATGTTTTCCTGCCTCAGTCTCCTGAGTCGCTGGGATTACAGGGTGTGCGCCACCATGCTCAGCTATTTTAATTTCTTTAATACTTCTTTTTACTTATACATAATATTAGGGTTCATTTTAATATAACCTTATAAGCAACTTTCATAGCTAATATACTGGGTCTTCTTATTTGAGTAATATGCATAATTCATTTCCATGGAGCAGTAAGCCACAAATCAGGAAGGTTCTTTGGATAACTTAGGTTTAGGCATATGTCTAATATCTAATTTCCAATTTGGGTTCATATTTTTCATTTGCATATCAAACTCATGGTGGTCCTTTTTCAACTGTAACTACTTTTGGGATCCTTATTTTTAGTTTTCTATATTAAAAAAAATGCTCAGTCGTGTTGACTTCCTGGGTTGTTATTATTTCCATAGTCGTTTTCATTTAAATAAGCCAAGATGACTTGCAAGCATATTCCAGGGGCCCAGAGCATGAAAGAGATCTTTTTAAGAATAGAATCTGTTTGTTCAGGAAATGTCTGCAAAACTACAGATAGACCCTCCAGATGCATTTTACCCTCACTACCAAGTGTATTCTTTGTCAAATTACAGGGTATTCAAGTTTTTTCCTCCTTTAGTTAACATGAAGTGGCTCTTCCTCAGGATCAACAGTAATGTTGATTTTTTCCCCCCACAAACCCACCAGACTGATTTGTGAGGAGTTGTACATTATTTTTCCACTCTGTTTTGCCTTACAGGATGAACAGTCCCTTTTGCTCTTGCACATAAGGATGTTCTGAATGGACAGATCTGTGTTCTCCACCATAATCCTCATTCATTTCTGGTTCTTGAGACATTCTTTGCAGAGGTGAAAGTGGAAGACTAGTTTGCGTGGTTTGACTCTCAAATGTCCTCTCTATGCTGGCACATGGCTCTAAAGCATGGGTAAAAAAAATCAGATAATAGTTAAATTTAACTTTGAACTCTTCTTAGTATACATTTAGCTACTCCCAAATCATTGGACTATAACTAAGAAGCGAAAAAAAAAAATTTACCTCAACCTGAAGTAGGATAAAATCACGAACTAGTAAACTTAAACGCTGTCACTGTTTGTTTTAACTAATCTCAATACATCATGTGTTAAACCCACCAAAAATGAATTAGAAGGTTCTTAACATTATAATGTCTTTGTCACATAAAGAGATTTTACCTCCTCATACCTTAAAGAGTGAGTCCTTAGAGTGCATTTAAATCTTTTTGCTAAAGGTCAGTAACTGGAGGATAGGCAAACTTCAAATTAGTAAGAGCCAAAGCCCACAAACACCAATCAAGAACAACAACAAATTTCTAAAATTTAATTCAGATTATATGACAGTGGCAACATATAACATAAGATGATGATAGTGTTAGGCACCTATATGGACTATGTCCATTAAGTCCAGTTCTAATATATTCTAATGTCCACTACAGACAGTGGACAAAACAATTTTAATATCATTTACCAATTTCCTACATGAAATGAAGTGAGAAAGTATCGCTCATAACCTTAACCTAACATGAAATGTGCCATTCTGGAAGGCATGATTCTTTAATAGGTTGTTGGGCTGATTTTTTATGACCCAATTTCCTCCCTCATAGACTCTGAAGTCAACTGAAGACCACAAGGAACAGTTAAATGTGTGTGCCTGTGTGCACGTGTGTGTGTATGTGAAATTCTGAAGAATTGCTTTGAGAACTGAGTTCTCAAAACACTGGCATTGGGCCTCATTTCTATGAATTGGTTGATAAGGCTTTGAAATCTACCTTTTGCAGACACATGTGTGCGTGCACACACACCCACATTACAATAACAAACACATAACAATTGGGGTATAATAATAAAGAATAATCATAAAGCATTATTGAAAGAGGTATTATCTTCACATAAAATAACATACATTCAAGATATCTACAGAGAAACTTGGAAAAACAACAATTAAGGTTTAATTGTAAAGCCAGATACTCACTATGCTTTTTTACAGTTCAGATGTGTGTTAGGCAGATGTATACCTAACTAAGCCTACAAGATAAGCTTAATTTATTTGAATGTATTTCTTTCTGCTAGTTTTGTACCTATCCATAGATAGGAGCAATAGTAGCATATTTTACTGACACAGAAGTGTACGTGAGTGTGTGTGTGTCTGTGTGCGTATTCTCCCATGTAAGAATTGAATTAATGTGTATATTTATTTCAATTTAGTAGTTCATCTAAAGCAAGCTAGTATCTGTGTTTCTGGAAATTGTTATGTGAATACCACATGTAAACCTTGAAATCCCTAATTGGTTTTTTAAAAAATTTACATAAACATCACAAGTTATTCAAAACAAGGTAAAAATAACATGGATAATCCAAGGCTTTTCCTTAAAATATAGCTATTTCTCTTTTGTCCCTAGAAGACTTTCTGCCCTAATACAATTATGATTGCTTCATTTTATTCAGAATGTTATTTTTATCTTCTTGTTTCAATCTTTGCTATACTAGTTCAAGTTTTAACGATTGCTACAGTTTTGATCTGTCCAAAGTCCTATGTGTACGAGGCTTAGCCACCAGCTAATGACACCATCGGGAGGTGACAGAAACTTTAGTTGATGGGGCCTATTTGAAAGAGGCGGGTTGTTGGGCTATGCTTTGAAGGCTAGATCTTGATCTTGGTTCCTTCCTTCCTCCCTCCCTGCCTCTCCTACCTGGCCACTGTAAGGTGAGTAGCTTTGATCTGCCACATTCTTCCACTGTGAAGTACTGATTCACTAAAGGCATGGAAACAATGCATCCAGCAGACAATGGACTCAAACCCATGAGGCAATGGGCCAAAATATATAAGTGGATTTTCTCAGGTTCACTGTCACAGTGACCAAAAGCTGACTTGAGAAAACTGGTGCTGAGAATTGGGATTATTGCTGTGATCATATCTGATCATGTGGCTCAGAAGCCTTTGGAATTGGTCTGTGGGAGGAGTTTGGAGGGGTCTGGATGTATAGGCTAGAGAAGCCCTAGAATGTTGTAAGTGGAGTTTAAGATGGAGGATTCTAGTGTGAGCTTACAAAAACCATAATGCTGATAGAAATGCAGACCGTAGAGACTGTATTCATGAGGTTTCAGATGGGAATGAGAACTCTTGGAAGTTGGAGCAAAGGCCATCTCTTTATATTCTGGCAAAGAACTTGGCTAAATTTTGACCAAGTCGTTAAGACTTTCTGTGAATCTGAGTTTAAAGGTGATGGACTAAATAACCTTGTAGAGGAAATGTCAAAGCACCACAGCATTCACGTGGTGGTGGCACAGATAGAACAAAGAGCAGAGTGGAAAGATCTAAATAACTTGCAGTTGGGTCACAAAGAGTTTAAAGTTGTGGCCAAGAAGGGTACAGATGCTGCAGATGCTGAAGATATTGGTGCCATTAAGAATAAACCAAGCACTTTGCTCTGGGACAAGAGGAAAAATGCCTTGTGTACATCTCAGGAATTGGCTAGATCCCATCCATCCATCCCAGGCCCAAATGAGTAAAAAGTGTAAACTCCTTAGACTGCTTTGAGAGCACTGGGGTGCCTTGCTTGTGAAGGGATACTTGGGGAATTATTTCCCTGAGATTTTTTCCCCCATGTTCACCTGTCCAGGAACACCGAGGCTGCTACTGCCATAGTTCAAGGGGCCCTGGATACTTACCCTGGCAGCAAACTTTAGCATCATCCACATAGTGCTCATTTTGTAGGTATGCAGAATATAACCTTCTGTAGGTATGCAGAATATAAGAGTTGTGGAGTCACAGAACCTTCCTTCTAGATTTCAAAGGAAATTCTGAGGGACTTGGCAATGTGTGGTAGGCTCAGGATCCCTGTCAGCAACCACCACAAGGGTGACATGTACATGTTTTGCATGTCTTTTCTTTACCCTCTCAGGGAAAAACAGTTATATAAATACAACAACAGTAGATGAACTATGAAGTTTGACATTATCTTTAATGGAAATCTGTACCTTTCCATATTCTTTGGCCATCCAGGACATTCCAGTTTCATGTCCATCACATGGTGACTTCCCATTCTTGAGAGCAAGGAGCCGCTTAAAGTGGGGCAACAGGACATTGCCATCAGTGTCTCCATCTTGCTTTATTCCTGTTCCCTTTCTTATTCTCAGGCTGTGAATTTCACTTTGCATTTCTTGATCTGTCTTGTTTGAGCTGATTCCAGGAACTGGCCTCTGACCAAAAGAATGGACTTGAAGTGGGAGTATCCTCCTGCAGGAGCTGGTCAGTGCCAGTGAGAGAGTCAGGAAGGGGCCCCAGGGAAGATGTCTGATTCAAAGTCTTGTAAAATGTTGATTCTTATAAAGATGCATATTTGCAGATGAGTGAATACAATAAATAAAAAGTGTGTCCCCAGCCTGATGCAGAGGCACGTGCCTGTAACCCCTGCTAGGTGGGAGGCTGAGGCAGAAGGATGGGATTGCTTGAATCTGGGAGTTGGAGAACAGTGTGGACTGGTTTAATCTGCTTTTGTTTTGCTGTGACCAAAATATCTGACAAGAACAACCTAGAGGAACATAAAGTTTACTTGGGGCTTATGGTTTCATTCCATAGACAGCCAACTCCATTTCTCGGGGCCCAAGGTGAGGCAGGACATCATGATGGAAGAGCCCAGTGTAAGGAAAGCTGCTCAGGTCATGGCACGGTCAGGAAGCTGAGAGAGAGGTGGGAAGGGGCTATGGGAAGATGAACCTTTCCAGGGTATGCCCTCAGTGATCCACCTCCTCCTCCAGCCACACCACACCTGCCTACAGTTACCTCCCCGTCAATCCATTCAAACAGGATGGACTGATCAGGTTATAGCTCTCATAATCTAATCATCTTACCTCTGAATAGTCCTGTCTTAACAGGAGCTTTTGAGGAACACCTCATATCCAAACCCTGATAGCAATATAGTAAGACCCCCATGTCAAAAAAAGAAGAAAAGTTCACGGCCATTTATAAACACAAGCATGTGTTATGATTAATGGTAATGTCAAGGACAGAGTATGAATGCCACTGCAGTGCACACAGACACAATGTCCAGGAGTGCCACATATTACTGCATTCACACATTACTGGATTTTTTTAAACAAACTACAAGCTCAAGTTCTTTAAAAGTCCTGGATAAATGAGCAGTGTTGTCCAGAGTTTGCATTTAATATGAACCATTCCAAAGGAAGGCAAAGAAGTATGCATGCACCAAAACATGCTCTCTTAAGAAGAAAACAACCCAAATTCTATCATTTAAATCACTTCATACTTTTTCTCATGATAACTTAGTAAATGAATTCCTGAGGTAGATGGAGGTGATGAATCTAGATCTGTACTTTTTGGCCAGCAATGGTGATTAATTTCCAGTTAAAAAGGAAAAAAATAATACCAACTGCAGGGAATCTGCATGTTTACATGCTTTCATTGCAATAACATCCCTTTAGTACTGAGTAGGTGTTGCTTTGTTTCAGGCCAATTTAAAGACCCCCACTGGATGCCTGAAACCATGGTTAGAATAAAACCCTACATACTATATTTTTTCCTATACATACAGTCATTTATCATTGAATGACAGGGATAATTCTTAAAAGAATTTTGTGTAATTATTTTGTTATGTGAACATCCTTGAGTGTACTTACACAAACCTAGATGGCATAGCCTGCTATGTGTGTGTGTGTGTGTGTGTGTGTGTGTGTGTGTGTGCGCTATATTGTGGAGCAACCATCACCTATGTGGTCCATCATTGACTGAAACATTTTGTGGTTTGCGACTGTACATACCTATAGTAAAGTTGAATAAACTAAGCTCCAAGCAGAGGGCAGCAATTCAATTCACATTATGCATAGTTCTCAGTGGAAACAAGAGAAGCAGCTCCCTCCAATGCCTGTGCCCTGCACAGCCCATACACCTCCACCCCAGTAACCACTGAACCAAGACACTACTCCTTGACAGCACCAGACAGCCTTCCCCTTCAGCAGTTGCTTTTTTAAACCTCTTACTATTAATAAATACCTTCTGATTGGTGAAACCATAAAAACAAAAATAAACTAAAAGCACAAAATCCATCTTAAACTTTCAACTTCCTTGGGGTGGAGGGAAGCCCAAACTGATAGTGCTCTAAGTTCATTAGAGTGAATTCTTTGCAGTGTACAGGAATTTGCTAGGTCTGCTATAACAAAGTACCATGAACATGAGCCTTGATTGGCCTGAAAGGCAGTGTAACAGGGCTGAGATTGTTTTCCTCTTTACAAGATCCCCAGGGTCAAAGCTTCCTGTCCCAGCATTCAGCCTTCTCAGAACTGCTGATCACCCCAACACATGGGTTCACATCTTAACCCAACATCAGCGTCCCCCACACCAGGTTGGACCTAACCTGGCTGGGAATCTTTGTTCTGTTTGGCTTGACATCTAAATTCCCTTTTCTGTGCTATCTTGGAGCCAGATCTGAGGCGCTCCAGGGAGTTTCACCCACTCAGAAGCAATGAATGATGTAGGGTTCTCATTTGCTACAGGGAGAGGGCGTGAAGCACCTGTCTAGTAAGCTGCTTACCTGGTATTAGGGGCAGAGCTTCCCAAACACTATCTTATTCACTCCTCATAGCCACAGCGGGGGTGGGGGTGGGGGGCGGGGAGGCACTCAGTCCCAAAAAAACTGAGGCTCAAACCATAAGTGAAATAATTTAAACTCAGGTCTGATCACCTTGAAGCAGAAGCTTGTATCAGAACCTCTAGGGAACTTTCTTTATAAATTGGGTTTTTACATCATGTGGCAGGGGTCTGGGAAGCTGGGTATTTACAAAAGCTTTCCTGGTGATTCTAAGGGGATCTGTATAGGTAGGGGTGGGGAGTACCAATCGTACTATGATATGCTCTCCTCCAGCTCCCACAGAGCCTGTGTCCCTCCATAGGGTGGTGGGGCCAGAATGCCAGAGGCAAGTCCCTGGGGAACCTGAGCCAGACAGTGGCTGTGACTTACCATAAACTTCCCATAGGCTGGCGCTGGATTCCATTCTCACATGTCCCTCTGAGTCAGTCAGTGTTCTGTCTCTATAATGAAATACCAAGATCACTTATAAAGAAAAAAGGGCCTTTTTTTTTTTTGTTTTGGGCCTGTGGCAAGGTGGCACATTGTGACTGGAGGTTACAGATGCAGCACTCCCCACATGGCCAGGAAGAAAAAACAAAAAACAAAAAAAAAATGAGGGGCCTGGGGTCCTACAATCCCCTTCCAGGGCATGCTCCCAATGACCTAAAGTAGGCTCCATCTCTTAGGGATTCAATCACCTCCCAACAGTGCCATCCTAGTGACCAGGCCTGTGTGTGGGGGGGTCAATCAAGATCCAAACTATAGCATAATCCCTCTTTTTATCTTCACCCCCTCCCCCTTCTGAGAGGAGATGTATCTAGCTGGGGAAAGTGAGGCCCCAAGAGAGATGACTAATGTGAGTCATGAAAGGGAGCCAGAGCCTCCTCAGATCCTCCCCCTCCCAGAAGAAAAGCAAGGGGAAGCCCCCCCTGGGGAATGGCAGGCTGGCACCTTTGGATTTTACCTCCCCTCAGCCTTGGATCTCCTGTTGATCTCCCAGTGTGGTGGTGTCCACGTCCTCTCTTCCACTTAAGCAACTACCCTTGTGGTGTTCCAAGCTTTGGGTCCTGAAACAATGCCCTGGGCTCAGGCAGGGCTGAGTCACTCCCAGCCCCCTACACTTTCCAAGGCCAGCAGGCCTAGAGGTCCCCTTCTGCTGTCTGTTGGATGCTATTGGTCAAGTTCCCTCATATGAGGGAAGCCAGGTACCTGAGTGCATGTATGTCCACGTATGGGAACACAGGTATATGTAGGGGTAAACATGAGAGGCCCTCTAAACCCTGTTCCAAAGAGAGGGCAGTGTCCACACCATAGCATCACGAGTCCTCTCAGGACCCCTAAGGGTGGAGGTGGGTAGAGGCTGGACCTGAGGGAGGCTAGGTGGAAGCAAAGTCTCAGATGGGACCAGGAGATGGGTAAACAGAGAGCAGTGGACATCTAAACTACTCAGTGTCAGCAATGCCTGGATGGTGTGGTCGCTGGAAGATACGGGTGGGAAGGTATGTCAGAAGAGTGAGCCAAAAGGCAGCTGGAGGTGGAGAAGAGTGGGCTTCCCCCCGCAGAAGATAGGAACCCACCTAAGACCCAATCCCACCAGCACAGAGGCGTCTCCTTTTTAGGGTGAATGTGTTTTGAAAGATATGCGGAGTTACCCATTCCCATCAGTGGTCCAATCCGTAGGGAGGGGGAATCACAAACTCCCTATAGAACCCCCACCATCTACCCGTGCTCTGCCAAGAATACTGTGAGCGCCAACCCTGCTCACCACTGGAGAGGGCAGAAGGCTCCCCTGCCCGCCTCTCCTAATGGGGCTCTTTCTCTCCTTTGGCGTCCAGTCTCTGAAAAGGCCATGCTCTCACCGCACAGCCCAGTCAGTAACTGTGAACTTGAAGAGGACGAGCCCCACGCCAGAGCCTGTAGGGGGCTCCCCAAGTCTGTTGGTCAGATCTCCCAGGCGCACAAGGAGTACCGGCGGCCAGAAAGAGAAACGCAGCAATGACTAAATGCCCGCAGGGTGAGAAAAAAATAGGCGGCTTGCAGAGGTGCGCACGTGCTTCTGGCAGGCACAGCCACTGGTCCAGGCTAAGCGCAGAGCACAGCCTGGGTGGTACCCCCCAGCCCCGCCCATCCCGACCCTCCTTCTTCCGCCGCCCGGTAATCCCACAGCCTCGCTCCTGCGGGTTTGCTGAAGTCCAGCCCAAGTCGCGGGAGAAGGGCCTCTGTCCAGTGCGCCCATCCTGTCCCATCCCGTCCCTCTTTCTTTGGCCGCCGTCCAGTGCCGCGGTCCAGTGCCGCGGTCCAGTGCGCGCACAGCGTCTCCTGCACCCTGACAGCTCTGCGGGGAGCGGAACTCCACTGTCGAGGCTCCCTGTCCGCCTGCGAGGGAGGGCGATCTCCAGCACCGTGGGGCTGCTGCTGCTGTTCTGCTAAGGTGAGCCTCGGTGGCAGCAGGTACCCAGGATGATGAAGGCGCTCAGCAAGGCTTTTTTTTTTTTTCTGTTCCCAGGCGAGGGTGATCCCTGCGGCCGCAGGGCTGAGTGGCTTTCAGGTAGAGCGGGACACACGTGCTGGGTGGCCGGTCGGGTGGCCGTGTGGGTGCCCAGAGCCCAAGCAGCCTCCCGGAGCAGTGTATCTGGTTTCCATTTTGGCACAAGGTAGAGGAGCTAGGTAGCCCCAGAAAGCGCGGGGCTTGCGAGGATGGGGCATGAAAAGGAAACTGCAGGATTCTGGTTTGCTTTTCGTGCCCCATGTTTGTCTGCAACCTGCTACCCTGACCTCTGAGGGGTGCGGAGGTTTTTCTTTTCTTTTCTTTTCTTTTTTTTATTACAAGTGATGACCTTTCTCTTGTGCCCTGTTTGTGTATGTAAAAGTATGTAAAAGCCCTGATTGTGTGACCCAGGTCCAGAGCCCGCCTAAGGCTAACACCAGGTTCGAGCCCCACCATTGAGGGATTGCACACTGAGTTTTCAAAGTCATTCCATTGACATTATATCCTATACACTCTTAATTTAAGAATGCATGTTTTGCCCCAAATAGTAAATGACTATAGAAGCAGAGACTCTCAATAACCATATGGTAAAATTTTAATTTCAGAAGTATTTTGCATTGTAGTTTGAGCTACATCCGCAGCCTTTTTGTGTGTGTTATTTTGAGACAGGGTCTAAACTGCCCAGGCTGC